ATTTATAGAATCGTTTCTGAACCAATTTAATACGCTTCAACAATTCAAGTAAGTTCATGTAATTGTTCTCGTTCCACGCTAAGAGTTTCAAACTCGATGGTTTCTCAGATCATCACATCCGCCATCCTTTTTAAAGAAGATCTGTCGGTATAGGTTCTCCGCAATCTTTCATTGGTTTCCGGAATCTTGAAGATTGTTTGGATTCGTCAGAGAAGCGTTCAGGTTATCTTCTGGAGTTGTTGAGGTTGTTCTTCGTTTCAAGATGCACTGGAGTTTCGTCATCGACGTTGGCTTTCGTTCTATCTGTGGTATTGGTCTCTTGACTTCATCTCGCAATCTGGGAATCGCTTACAAGTACATCCGTTCTGATTGTTTGGGTTGGATCCACGATGTGTTGGTTCCACGTCGAATGATGAAAGTTGCTGGCTGTGCGTTCGAGTACTTGTTCGGCCTGAAGAGAATTTTTTCACAAACGTTAAAATCTATGATGGTATGTTGTCTGATTTTGTGTCCAAGAACAAATTCTGCTGGTGTTTGTCCTAGCGCTTTGGAAGTGATTCTATGCGTCATCAAAATTCCTTGCTCTTTGATGTGGGCTCAGTCCATATGAATTCGTTCCCATACGTCTGCTTCTGGCCATTTTGAAACTATTGTTTTTGGCAGTGGTCTGTTCTTTTGACAGATCTCGCATCTTGAGACAAGTTGTTCCACGTCTTTTGGGATGCCAGGCCACCAAACAGCAAATCTCGGAGCCGTTTCTGGTGTCTGTGTGCCTGGATGCGTCTTGTGGGCATTTCGTATAACTTTTCTTCTGTATCTCGGCGGCTTGAAAGGAACAGCGCTCTGTAGATGACCCCTTCTTGTATTTTGAATATTTTGCTTCCTTCTTGAAGTGCGTTTCAACTTCTGGACTTTGTCTCCAGTCACCGCTTTGTATCCGTTTAAAGACATCTTAAAATGTTCGATTCGAATAGGGGTCGATTTTGATGTCGTCAGTTTGATTGTTAAGAATGAATTAAGCTAAACTTAGAACAAAACAACCCAAAAAACTTATTGTAATCAATTTAAAACATTGATAGCCGGTTACTGTGCAGGTAGCACAAAAATTTCCTTCCTTTGTTTGAATTTTTTTTCAAATTTGTGCAGTTTTTTCGTGGCCGTGTAATTGTAGAAGCTCAACGAAAAACTGGAGATTAGGCATATTCGACAGCCACAGTAAAATTAGCAAATTGAAAAATATTTTTGTAGAAGAAACGAAAAAAATGCAGAAAAAAAATTCAAAAAAGTCTTTGAATTGTTCAAAGTTTTCTCATTCCAAAAAGGCGCTAAGCTAACAGTTATCGAGTATAACTAAGTTTTTACATTTTAAAAAATATTGCACGCTTGCAGGCCATTAAGATATGCTAGTGTTAGCAGTTTTTTGCGACACTGGGAAAATTTTTAATGTTTTTCTACTCATGACCGTAAAGCTGTGCATGATATATCATTCTGTTTTTTCCGATGGTTATTTGTGGTAGCTGATTTTATGTTGAAAACAAAAATAGAGTAAAAAAAACTAAAAGACAACCAAATACAAAGTCTCTTCCCACTTTTCAAATGGTCGGAACAATAAAGAGCACTGAGCAAGGGTTTCCTGAGCAGAAAGATCCAAAAGCAGATTGTTTTAAAGTGTGAAACGAATGATTTAAGCGAAGCTACAATTAGCAGACTTTTTTACCCCGCTAATAATTGTTTGCCGTAGAAACTAAGGCTGTGAACTTTTTTATCCCACACTCACAAATGCATGATTGTTTGGTTGCTAATGCATAACATATGAAGAACATTGATCAACTCTTTTTCTACCTCGAGATGATTATTCTAACTCCACAAAATAAACAGGTTTCTGTGCTGACGATTTGCAAGAACTGTTTGTGTTTCAGTTACCTTGTTGTGATATCTTTTCGTAACGATCAATCCAACTTTATTTGTTCTGTTTTTGGACCGCTAATCATTATTTTATATGGATTTGAACGGTGGCCAGTCAACCCGCACTGGATTTTAATGGATAAGAATTGATTAAAGTGGACAATATTTGGAGAGTTTGAAGATATATGTCTTAAAACTGAAAACCATTTTTGATAGATTATAATCAATTGTTTTCATTAAAAAAATAAATAATCAAAATAGATCTTTTTAAAATTTCAATCGATTTTCTTCTCAACATAAATCGATGAATTTCGATTTTTTCTCCTCAACAATTCAAAATAATCGATTGTTTTCTGCCGCAAAATGGTTCATTCAGCATGTTACACTTTTTCAGCAAACCTATGAGGAACCACATATCAATTTTGGAAACAAAAAAAAACAAAAAACCAAAACCCATTCACAAAATCATGTTTTTTGACAATTTTTTAATGTTGCACTTCTGTTTTCAACCCTCGCCCCTCGCTTCACCACTCTGGGTAAACTGGGAGGAGGTAAATGGGGAGAGGGGAGGGGGGTGGTAAATTGGGGGAAGGGGAACTAGGGGTGGGTCAGCTCATCAAACCCGTTCAACCAATCCCCCTTTAACCACCAAATACCCCCCTTTCAACCCTTGGACCCCCTTACTTAAGGTAATGGGGATATGACGATAGTAGAAGTAGGCGAATGAATAGCGACATTATACCGTGTCGATGTTTAAAAAAAATATTAAAAAATATGTGAAAAGAACAAATTTATTAAACGTAAATTGTAGCAACTGCAATAAACATGAAGAAATGAGATAAGTTCAAAAAAAGCAAAATTCCTCATTAAACTCGATTATAACTCCAATTTTATTCGATTATAATCGATTTTATTTGAGAACTACAGAGATTGACAACGAAAATCCAAAATCATCGATTTTTATTACTCTTTATTACTTTTTCGAGTTATCAATTCGGAACGAACACTTTTATTCAGGTTAGCAACTAGTTAAACAAAACCAGTTGAATCACTTATGCCTATGCAGCTATGCAGCACTTATGAATCACTATGCAGCTGACATGCTCAGTTTAATTAAAATTCAAATTTAACTACTGGGTGGTTACTAGTTACTTTAAGGTATTTTCAGGCGACTTGAAACTTATTAAAGTTTTTCACAAAATCATTTTTTTTGGCGCAACTGTTCTGTTCACAGATTGTCGGCCTTGTTTCCGCTTCGTAAATTTTGTTCAGTTGCTAACTTTCCTTTCGATTGTCTTGCTTGGCTTGTTTTTCAAGAGTTCTCGTTTGATAATTACAGCTGATATGGAATTGTGTGGGTTTGGCTTTTCAATTTATTTTTGTGAAACGCTTTCAATTTTTTAAATTTTTTTTTGCAAAAAGTTTAGTTTATCAATACAAAAAACCGTTTTATCAAATTTCAAAAACAATAATAAGTACAAAGAAAAACCGCCTAGTTTCTTGCGTGCCGCTATACTCCCTTGATCTATTTTTGGTTTACTTCTTTGTCTGCAATCTTCGAAAAAATCTGTGGGAGAACATTTGACCGATTTTGTTAAGTTTTTGTTTTCGTTTTCTCAAAAACTAACTCATCAAATCTGAAGGTTTTGGTTTAAAAGATTGGAAAGATCTCTTCCATCAGCGGTTACGCTCAACCTTTTTATTAGAATAAATTTAGGGCCTTCGGAATAGTAAACTTTTTTCGTTTTTTTAAACCGTTTTTAAATCTTTGATGTCTCTCGAAAATTAAACTCCCAACCTGAGATTTTGAATTCAATTGATATAACAGGTGGTGGGAAATTTTCACTCATTAGCGTTCGCTCTCAATTTTTTGTACACAAAATTTTATTGTCCTTGGAAATTTCATTTTTTGATTTTTAAGCGTTTTTTTTTCTAAATTTGTTGAATTTTAACGAGAAACACCCTTCCTTATCCGAGATTTTTGATTCAATCCAATGAACGGCTTGTGGGATGCTCCTTCGAATATCGAAATTATAGTTTGGTTGAATCTCTTCTGTATAGACGACTCCGCTCAGTTTTGTCAAAATAAAACGATATGATTTTCGGAAAGGTCAGCTTTCTCTTGTTTTGACCATTTTGTACTTTTCCTCGATAACTAATGGACTCGTATCGATAAATAACCTGCCAAATCTGATATTATAAGCTTAATCGACTTTGAAAGCTCAATCGAGGTTTTTGGAAGCCTACTCTTACAAATTGCTACGTCCAATTGTTTTCTGGTCTTCTCCTTAATTTTTTGTAGGAGAACTGTTGTCTTCGGGAAAGTTTCAAAATTTCAAAAATGTCCACTTTTTTTACTTATTCATTAGAGGAATAATTAAGGTTTTGTACGAAGTCTAAATTTTGAAATTACGCAATTCGACTCGCATTAGCTTTACAAGTTCAAAAAATATCAAACACATACCTCCAGCTTTAGGTGGGCCCTAGGTGTCCTTTATTTTGTTCACCTAGTTTTATTTTAAACATTTACCGTATTTTTTGACCGTATATTTTTTGGAGAGTTTGAAGATATAACTGCTTCACCTCTGTGTTCATGAAACTCCATTGCGGGAATGAGCAGATAGATCTAAGATCAGAAAGGTCACAGAACACAAAAACAGACAAGTACTGGATCGTAAACCAATTCTTATAATCGTCAATACTGCCAGTGAATTGAATAAATTATACCTTAACTGTGCAATATCACCAAGTTTTTCATTGATTTGAAAAAAATATATACATTTTTTTTATATATGCTTAATTATATATTTGTTTCTTCGGTAATATTGCCAGTTCAAATGCCGATTTTACAGATTAAATTATAAAAGTTGATTTTTTTAAGTTTTTCTGCTTTTGGACCATTTCTGCTCTTAGACCATTCTGCTTATTGCACCACCTCCAATTTTTACTTTATCATATCTCTTTGAGGCAGGCGGTGCCGCCTACTGTTTGCTTTTGTTTTTGTTTATCTGACGATTTCCGGCCATCTGTGGTTCTGGTGAACAAAATGATAAAAATGAGTTCAATTTTTTGGTCGAGATAAATTGCAATAAACAGCAGGTCTTTTATTACACCATTTTCAATCCTTGAAGAAATTGACGAGAAGGTTAAAAAAGCGATGCATGGTTAAATTAAAAAAAAACTGAGTATCTTAAATAGCCACTGTTTCTATATGAATAAACCAAGAGAGGCTATCTTTATTGTTTTGTTGTTCGCAACAATCAGATGCTTCACTATGTATATTCACGCGCTCATTTTTTTGTTTAATGCTTCCTTTGTTTTTTGTCTGTTTTTTTCTTCTGTTTTTTTTCTCCGGTTCTTCTGTTTTTTTTTTCACTATATTACAAATAGCGTAGCTACAACAGGTTTCTTTTAATGGTTAGTATGCACTAGTGTTTTTTATTGGGACTGAAAAATTGGAATACATATTTTTGTCTCCAGCCATTTTCATCACTGACAAACTTAGGACTGGTTTTTTGTTTTTCGGCTTGTGTTTTAACGAAAAACGTCAAATAAAATATCGGTTACAAAACTTTATTGAAAACTACTTTCATTTGAAAAAAAACTGCTTTTCACAATGTGACAAATTTTTTTGATATGCATTACTAACCAACTATTTATAATAGCTCAAGTTGTTTATACTGGGGTTTGTAATTTTGTTGATTGTATGTATACATGATGGTATCTGCTTAACACAACAAAATTAATAAACGATAAGATCGATTGAGTTTGGTTTGCAATTACAATTCTATTACTCACATTTTCATTATCATTCCGCTCCAAAAGCGTAAAGCAAGTCAACAGCGCGTCACGTCACAATTGTTTTCGAGTTCGCAGTTGAACAATTTGTACCATCAACCTCTATTGAACAGAAGGTGAGAATTTAATCATCTTACAAAGTTATTCAAACAAAATATGATAAGTTAAGAATTCTGTTAAAAACTATAAATGGAAACAATTTGCTCAGAATGTTCCCACTAGACTTATGATTGCAATGAATGAAAAAAAAAATTTAAAAAATTATATACTATTTTAAAACTTTTCTTATATTTGTATCATTATTCAAAAAAACTGGGTTGGATCAAGTTAACCTTTAACATCCTCCCCCTACAACCCCGCAAATAGACCAGGTAAACATCTTCCACCACCCCAGCATCTAATTTGGATTAGATTTGATAACCGATGTTTGTAAAACGCTCGGTTCTGATTGGCTAAAAATTGCAACTTATTGCCAAGTTAGCACCCTCCCTCCTGAACTGCTTTGGGGAGAGGATGTTGACTTGGTTCAATTTTTGAGAATTTTTCTAGAAAGAGCTATTGAATTAAGTGAAAACACAAACTGAGTGGTAATAATAGCTAAAGTAACGTGAAAATTGTGTTGTAAATAAGTTTAGATGTCGTCTCTTTCAAATCGTTTAATTTAGTCTGAAAACCGTAAAAAAATATTTTCGAATTTTTTAGAGTCCAAATGAAGACTTAGCGGGCTTTAATATAGTATTAATTTTCTCCTCTGAGGTGGTCAAAATGGTCCAAACAAAAACACACTTCGTCGGAACAAAAAAATTGAGCCGTTTTTTTTCAGACAAATTTCGACTTTTTATTTTTTGACTTCTTAACAACCATTTTTGACGGAAAATTTTTAAATCATTCAAAAAAAATTTTGTCCTGAGCTTAAATTTGAAAAAATAATTCATTTTTGTAAAGATATGGGTAAGATTGAATAAAAAGTTAAAAGTTACGGCAAGCTTGAAATTAAAATTTTTCAAAATGTTTAAAGATTGCCATTGCGGCCTTTTTGGGACCATTAACGCGCCATAAATATTTTGCCCTATTAACGCGTGAGCGGAGATTTAATCAGTCTTAGAAATCGTTCCAAATTCATTGAAGGAAGCTTATATGCCATAATTGATTTGTTACTAAAGCGAAATCTAACACTTGGTACTTTACATGGCGTGTTGGAATGCCCGGGTTGACCAAAATTGCTCATCATACAATTCTAATAAATGGGAAATTTCTTTTCAAAAAATTTCATGCGCACAGTAAACTGTATGAAATCTCTAAAATAAAATTTTTCCATAAATGGAAACTGTATGTTAGGTGTTTTTTCCATAAACCAAAAAATTGTTTTTTGTTCCTAATTTTATTTTCTGAAAAATTTTGGGTTCTGTTTGCAATCGAAAACAAGTGACAAAGACCTTGGTTACTCAAAACACCAAAGGCTGGAAGGTCTTGCATTTACAATGCATAGAAAACGACCTGAATTGTCTGCGAGCTGTCTTTCACAAATGATACAACAAAAGGAACAAACTTTTAGTTTTCAATGAAGATTGTTTTAAATTTTTGAATTTTCAGTTTATCAGACATTGATCAAGGCATACATAAACACGCCATACAAAAGAAATAGAAATTTTCAGTGTTTTTGAAAAAATGTTAATTGAAAAGAAAAAAGCCAATATTATCGTATCTAGGACTACGTTATAACACGAAAAATTTAATTTTGCATGCAAAAATTTCTTTTCCGAAAATGCTCGTTTGCGTACAAAATTCGATTTGCGGTTGAAAAAAATTACAAAATTACTTGGAAAAGTTTAATTCAGCAAAATTTTTGTGTCGCGATCAACAAAAGGCCAGTCATACAATTTCCATATATGGAAATTGTATGGTCAGCATTTTCTCCATACACTTGATGCAAGGAATTGTATGACAATGATAAATATTTTTCATTTATTCTATTACATTTAATTCATGTTATTACTACTCCATAGACCTTAAGAGGCAGTCGGAACATTCAAGGCTTCGCCCTGATACGAGCAGTCCTGTTGTTATTGTATAATAGTTTTGCTGAATCATATGGCCTAATTATTCTCTACACATTTGTAGCCATACCAATCCCTAGTTGGTACTTTTTGATAGTTTTTTAGTGACTCTCCTTTTATTTCCACCTATATTTAGTTGCCAAATGTTTGTCTGTACAAAACAGTCCCATAGAAAACAGACCAATACAAAACAGTCCGAAAAAATATGAAAATGAACAAAAAAACAGTCCGATACAAAATAGTCCGAAAAACAGTCCCAAGTAAAAAATGATCTAACAAGCCGGTAGGCCGAGAATTGTCCTTTGATCATCAAACATAAGCAACAAATTAGCGACCGCCGGAGTCGCACCAAGGTGTTGCGAGCTTGTCAAAAGAGGGTAGTCCTTGAATCGGCGGCCCTAAATTGGACTGTTTCGTATCGGACTGTTTTTTCTTCGTTACATGATTTTTCGGATCAATTTGTATTGGACTGTTTTGTATGGGACTGTTTTGTATATGCACCCCCAAATGATACACTGGACAGTTAAACGAACTCAAAATGAGCTTTCGTTGTGCCATAGCCATGATTGCACCATATCTGCTGAGAGAATGTCATTTTTGTGTGTTTAGCGATTAGTAAACAGGCTATCGTTCCACCTTAATTAGCGCCAAGCTTACGTTTTGTTCACATAGTTTCTTGAATAAACCCAAGTTTGATTTAGCGGCCTTGTTAAGCAGCTCTTACTTTTCGTGGTGGACTTGGACTGGCCATATATGGCTCCTTCGAACTTGGGAGACTGGACTGGGCTGCTGGCTCCGTTCGCCTACCAGAGCTCCCAGGTTGACTGGTGTGAGCCGAACTATGTGCATTCGCCCTATGTTGCAGAATTCTTCAACACCGTAAGTTCTCAGATCGGACAAGTGAAATTTTATTTCGAGTTTTTTCAATTTTCTTTCGTTTTTTTTTCATAGAAATATAGGTAACAAAAATAAAAATCAGTTGGCGCTCAGTAAATACCGTTAGGGAATTTTTTTCAATTGTGATGTACCTATTTTTGAAGCAAATTTTTTGCTTATTATCAAGAAAAACGGTTTTGCTAAATTTTTGTCCAATGTATTGCAAACAAATCCAGCGAGTATAGCAAAAAGCTATTAAGGCCCCCAAATGAGTTATAACCGATGTGGTTAACTCATAGAGTAATTTCGGATAGGGTACACCGTCTGCTCGTCACGCTATCTTATTTTCGGCCGGATAGATTCGTGCAACTTCTTAGTCTAATACCGATCCTAATCTTACTCTTATACTATCTAGTCTCAGGTTGTTTAACTAGTCTCTGCTAGGCTCAATAGATCTAGGGTATACTGGTTTATTGCGGCTGCTGAAGTTCGCTTGGAGAGTCAACTAATTTCTAAGTTAAATTCAAATCTCTCTGGTGCTGAAATTACAAGTAATTTCAGCACTTACAAATAAGTGGGTTGTTAGTTAAATGGATCATGATTGGTTAATATTAAACACTTTACAATGGTAAAATATCTAATTTATCCAATCATAAAATGTAGTTTAGATCAGGTTCCACCCATCCGGGTTTTACAGAGTTTTTTAGAATAGTCTTTCTGCAATTCAAAGGATAGATGATGGACGTTGGTTTTTGGCGAACATCATAATTCTTCTGGGTTCTCTTGTCAGAGAAGTTCCAGATTCAATCGCTGTGTCTTCTCATGACAACGACTGGGTTTTCGCAACAAACTCAAATCTGATTTCAGAATGGTTGGCTATGTCAGGTTTTTCTGTTCCATGTAGAGAACTTCTTTTGGGTTGACCTTGTCTGGGAATGGCGTGGAGATTGTGCGTGGAGGGGATGCCTGGTTACTCGGATCTGTACGTATACTTGAACATCGAGGTGGTCATTGTTCTAGTTCAATGAAGTCCTTTTCTGCGAAGTCAAGTCGTACTCTAAATCCTTTGAGTTGTGATTGTGGGCGGCATATTGATTGTGGTTGGCCATTCTTTTTCGAGTGTAGTGGGGTCATTTTGTCTTTGGATGTTCGTCTTTGGTGTTGTATGCTGATCTATATACTGCAAGGTATAATTTACATTTTATAAAATTTTTATTAGTTTGGTGTTTTAATTATGATTTTGGTTAGTTGTTTTCACAAAAGCTTTTTGTTTTAGTTCGGTTATTTTGAAGAGTTACTCACCCTTGAGTACCTCTTATTAAAAATAGAAGTGTGGTCACAAAGCGTGGATGTAGCGCGGTGGGTTAGGCCGGCTATAGAGCATGCTCCGGACGTCCTCTCTGGTGGGTTAGGCCAGGAGTGGGAGTATGATTTCGTGCGGTTTCTGTGAGGGGTCCTGTTGTGTGATAACGTTTTATGTTGGGTTTATTGTGGTTTTTCTTATGTTTCGTTGGTTGTGTCCTTTTTTCAAAAATCAAATTGTTTTTGGTATGGGTTTGTCTTTCGACTTTTTTGTGTTTTGTTATTTCTTTCTTAGACTTTATAATAGTCTTCAAAAGAATAAATTATCCAGTTTTAAACTGGGTTAATCCGGTTTGGGTACCGTTGGTTTCCTTTTCTCAGTCATGCTGTTATTCTATGTGTTGTGGTGTTTAGTAAGCTGCGTTGGTTAGTTTTGTTTAGTATATAATTCCTTTCCAACCGGGTTAAAGGAAAGTTTGAAACTTGTTATCGTGTGTTAGAGTTGTTGAGTGTGAAAGCTTGAAACTGAAATTCATTATTTAAACAATTCTTCGTGGGCGAGCTGTGCGAGTTTGGATAGAATTTTTGTGCGAGTGAATGGAAATATCAAAAAGTTAGTACTGCATTTTCGTCTTATCAATTTACTACATAGAATTTCAATTTTACTGCTAGTTTTGGGGAAAAATTAAGTTACAAATTTTTATTATTATTAGAATTACTGCTTTTAGGGAAATAATTTATAAATTAAATTACTACATTGGTATGAACTTTATTTAATTTAGCTGATGCAAAAGATTATTAGAGTTTTGGAAAATTTGAAGAAGTTTTCTATTTTTTATTTTTCTTTTGTGTATTTTGCAGATGATCGTGAGATGAAGACTAAAAATCTAAATAAAACACGGATAAAGAATGGTTAGTGTTTTATTTTAATTTATTAGTTAAGAATATGAGAATTTATACTTACCTGTTAGTCGTCGGGGAAAAAATCGTGGGGGAAGATGTCGTGGATTATGTCGGAATTTGTTAGTAACTTTGCTAGTATGCGAATGATGTTTTTAGTTTGAAGCAGTGGCCAAAGCAATTGAAGTGCTTTAATGGTTTTTAGTTCTTCAGTGCCAACTGCAAAATCATAAGGTGTGTTTTGGATGAGATTATATAATTTGTGGTTATATTTAGTGTTGTGGATGAATTCTAATATGGGGATTTCTATAGGTTGAACAAATTCATGTGGGATAAGGAAGGGTCTGGATTCTTCTGCGTTGAAGGTCTTTGTGATGGGACAAAAAATATACATTTGGGTTATGGGATCATAATTGCGAAGAATACCGTGAAGGTTAGTATCTTTGATGCAATATGTGAAGTTAAGAAAAAATGATGAAGTGTACTTAGAGTTAATAAATTGAAATCGGTGGTGTGGTTGTCTTGATGGAGTGTGTAGATCAAAGTGATTTTGTATGAAGCGATAATATGTATATGTGTGGGTTTGTTTAGTGCGTAACATAATGTCGTGTGAGCAGTGCAAATCTCTTTCATGTGGTGCAAGGAAATGAAAGGTTAGTGAAAATAATTGAAATTTTTCTTTAAAACTTTCGTAAGCTTGTGTGTCGGTTAGTGCTTAAAGGTGCTTGTCGTTGAACTGGTTCTAGTGGTTCAGATAAGCGAGCGTGTCGTTCTTCAAAGGTATATGGGTTATCTTGAAAAGAAATTCGTGTGGATGTTTGGGGGTTTTGGGTATTTGAAGATGGTGTTGGGTTATTTTGGGATGATGTCGGTGAAGACTGACTGAGTGATTGTTGGTTAGCAATTTTTGATGGCTTTTTATTTATTCTTTTAGTGGAAAAATTTATGTTTATTATAGTATTCTTCTAGAAAAAGAATTAGGAGGATTGTTGCTAGGGCGAATGTGATGATTGCTTTCTTTATACATTTGCATATTGTCAAGATGAGGGATGATAGAAATGTTATAAAAATTACAAATAGTAAAAAAATATCTGTTCTACTAAAAATGGTTCGTATCATTTAGATAAGTTTTGTGAATCGTACCTGTGGATATAGTCAATAGCTTTTGAAAGCTGGAGGTATAGTTCAAATATGGAATAGAAAATTAAAAAAATATTGCAAAAAATAATTAAGATTATTACAAAAGATTCAAAGGTATCAAAAAGAAATATGATTAAAAGTTTAAATATCGTTAAAAAGTTTATGAAAATGTTGAGTATTAAGTTGACTGGTCGAGAGAAGAGCATTTAAGAAATGGCTTCTCGATCGAATATTTTTTGTTGTTTGAGGCAATTTTCAAGTGTGGTCGGATTATTTATTGGTTTTTTGACAAGTGGGTTGAGTTTTGTGAAAAATTGTTGGGGGCGAATTTTATGGTGATCGGGAGCTCTTCTTTGTCTTTATTTTTATTTGTCAAGTGATCTGGGGTATTTTTGAGATTTTTATACTTTAGGCTAATTAAATTGGTCGTTCTTTTACTTTAGGCTAATTTAACATATTTGTTTGGGGGGTATTTGAGATCGGAGTTGGGGAAATATTGTTGATCTTTGAGTTATTAGATAAGGGAGGGTTATGATATTATGGTGGTATTTATTTTAGTTGTCAAGTTGGAGTGGTTTGCTTATTTTTGACCTGGAGGTCGCAAAGTTATAGTTATAGATATGCCTGGAGTTTAATATCGTTCGTCTAGTTCATCTGTGTTAGAGTTAGAGATAGTGACGGATTGGATGAATCCTATTGGCTAATTATGAACTAGAATCGTTGAGTGTTTGTCAGCATGTTATTCAGAAAAATGAAAGTTCGAAATATTTCAGAGGTGCAAAGATTATGAAATATAAAATTAAAGCTGTTTTTGAAATTCGACTTTCTTTAATATTTTAGATTGTGGGATGAATGTTTTATAGTTTTTACGTGGTTGATTTCTAAGTCGTGATGACTCTCTATGTTCTGATTTGTCGATTTGTTCTTGGGGTATTATTTTTTCTGTCAATTTTCTATTTTTTCTTTCTTCTTGAGGTATATTTTGATCTAGCTTTTTTGTATTGTTTTTTGTTGTGGTTGATTTTTTATTTTGGTTCTCGAGATGAATGTCATGTTGTTCCTTTGTTTCATTCTCCGTATGTGGGTTATTTTGAATAACCTTTAAACCTGTGAAAGAATATAATTGAGTTAGTTCGCGTAGTGCGTATTCTTTTGGGTAATAAGGTAATAGGTTGTTTCGGTGTTGAACAATTTCTTTTTTGTTTGAGTCGGTAATTTTATATGTGACATCAGTGGGTTTGGCAATTATTTGGTATGGTCCTTTTCGAAGTGGTTGTAATTTTTTAGAGATTCCTTTTTCAGTGTTAAAATTGGGTATTAAAACAAATGTTCCAATTTTTAAATCGGAGGCTGGTGTAAAGCGTGAATTTATTTGTTCATTTATGTTTTGTCTTTGTAACAACTTTTTTGTTACTTTTTGGTAAATTTCATTGTGTTTTTTATCTCTGTTTAAAATCCATTCGGTGTGTGTACCGGAGGCTAATTTAAGAATTTGTGGGTGATGAAAATGATCTTCATCGTGTGTATGTAAAGGTAAGTTGTAACAAATTGGTTCTTATTGGGTTGACAATAACTTTGTGCATTTTTATGAGAGTTTGCTGTAAACATAATTGGTTTGCGTGGCTTTTGATTAAAAACCATTTCATATGGTGACATTCCTA